TCAATCAGGAATATTTGGTGGTGTTATCTATTCCTAAGTAAAATCTCAAATCAAAATAGATAAAATTAAGAATAAAATAATCCTTAGTCAATCTTTACAGATCTTATGAAATTTTAAAATATTAATTAGTTTAGATAGTAGTTCGTTTAATTTCGAGCTGGAACCTTTAAATTGGTAGATGGGGAGTTGCCTTTACTAGATAAAGGTCAAATACTTGTTGAAGTGCAATACTCTACAATTAATCCCTACGATAGAATAATGTTTCGAGCTTAAAAAGAAGAGGGCTTCGTAATAGGGGGAGAAGGAAGTGGTTTTATTAGATAAATAGGTGAAGGAGTAGAGTAGGGGCTCATGGGAAGATTAGTTTCTTTTACATAAGGTGGTTGGGCGAGATACGCAATCAAAGATATTAATGAAGTCATCATATTTTAAGATCAGCCTAGTTTTGATCTAAGAAAATCTGCAAATGCTTATGTGAATCCACTGACAGCTTGTGGATTGATAGATTTTGCTAAGAACCACAATGCTAAAGCTGTGGTCATACTTGATGCTTCTTCTCAGCTTGCGAAGTAAATGATCAGATTTAGCAGATTGCAGGGTATTGAAACTGTGAATATAGTTAGAAAAGAGGAGTAAGTCAAGGATTTAGTTGAAAATTACGGAGCGAAATATGTTCTTAATTAATAAAGTTCAACTTTCTTCCTAGATCTTGAATCATATTTAAAAGAGACTAATGCAACTATTCTTTTGGAATGTATTGTAGGTAATATACCAGGAGATATTCTTGCAAAAATGCCTCCAAAAAGTTTAATGGTGGCTTATGGGATTCTATCAAATATTAGACTAAGCTTTGATTCATTTGATTTAATAAAAAACGATAAGTGCATTCAATCTTTCTTTCTGTATAGGTGGCTCAACTCACTTGAACCTGAGATTAAGAAATAATGGTTTGAAAGAGTAGCTGATGACTTACAGAATAATAAGTGTTAAATATTCGGCACTAAAATAGTTAAATAGATAGCTCTAGAAGAATGGAGAGAAGCTATTGATGAGTCAGAAAAGGTCGCCTCACAGGGTAAATATATTATAAAATGCGCTAGAAATTGATAGCTAAATTCATGATTATTATTTTTATTTTTGTTGATTTATCATTATTTTAGATTCCTTGATTACATAGTCTAATTCAGGCATTACGGGGTTTTGGGGTTTTGGGGAGATCGGAAGAGCACACGTCTG